AGAGCGGACGATCGAACGAGCGTCACGGGATCGGAGGCGAGGAAAAGAAGAAGAAGCTACCACCACAGGCGGAAAGGAAAAGAGAGACGACAGATTGGAGGCCGGGGAGAAGGTGAATCATTTCCGCAATTTGAGGGGGGGGGAGTATCCCTGCTAGAAAGGGCAGACCGACAGGGCTATATGATTTCAGAGCCAGCCTTACGGAGCTACCGGGACCTGGACAGCCGTTGCCGAGTACTAGAGAGCAGGGAGAGACTGGGAGCTGCCGCGAGGAAGTTGCACGGGCGGAGCGGATTGACACCGCGGACGAGCGGAGGACAGCCGCGGCCGAAGCACCATATCGGCCAGCGAATCCTCCGCGACCCGGAGCGTCTGCAGAGCCAGCACAGACTCTGCGAGGTTTCGCAGGACATTTGAAATAACTGCTGTCGAAGAGGCAAGGTCAAAACAACGAAAGAATAAGCTGCCGGTACGCCAAACAGAGTAAAGAAAACAGTGAGGCAACAAAGGCAGGGAAGCGGCTCTGGAAAACCAGCCAATCAACGGTCGCCAACTGGTGAGAAGAGGGACCCAAATTGGAAATAAAACCCGGCCTTGAAAACGATCAAGAGCTCTCGAGTTATCGCCTTCGTACGGAAAAGTGTAAGGGACGTGACGCCCACCAAGCTACATCTTCGAGGACGACTACGCCGACGAAAGCCGTAAGGCCGACTCCGCTCAAAGACTCGTATTGCTGTGTGACCCGGAAGGGGATTGCCGCTGCTCGCTGACGACTGCGACCAATTCGCGACCAACGATCTGGTGAGTCCGTTCCTACAGATGGCCATTTGCGGGTGGAGTTTGGAGTCGCGGATCGGGAGACGCGTCGGCGGCCGGGGCCGGCCGTTCTCTCACGGGAAGTGACGGGAACCGCATCCGCCTCGCTAGGCGAAGAGAGTTCACGCGTCCGGGGTAACTTTGTGAACCGTCCCCGTCGTAACCCAGAACGATCGCACACCGCCGCCTCGAATAATCGTAAGATTAGCTGCCGCGAGCTGGGAAGGTCGTCGTCGAGGCGACACGCTGCCGTAGAAAATATTGTCGCGAGCGCGAATAAAGAGTTGTAACTAGATAGCTGCCGAGAATAAATCGGGTCGATACAAGAGATCACGATTCTCGTGTTTTATTGCAACCTACATCCTTCCTGCAATCACCTCCGACCGCGCGCGAACCAGCCCCTCTGCCGAAAAGCGGCTGAGCTGCCGAAGGGTCGTACCGGCGACCGACGCCCTCTGGTCGACAGAGTATCGTAGTAATAGAGAATCGTAAGGTGGTACGGCCGACCGTACCTGGCGCCCAAGTCCGGAAGGTCGACCGGAGGCGCGAGCGTCGTGGGAGTGAAGCCGGGTTCACTCCGTTGAGCGATCGCCGAAGATTTGGTCAGCGCTGCCTCGGCGTGCTGACTACGCGAGGAAAAAGCGTTGCAAATTATATCTTTCTTTGTTATAAATTTTTTAATTTTTCCAAAAAATATAAAAAATATTTTCTATTTAAATAGCTGTTTAACAACAAGGTTTGCTGCATCCTTGCTACCAATTTGCTGTAAACTGTTGTTCGCAAGCTCTGTTCAATATTTGGCGTCAATTTGGCGTCAGGTCAGATTTTGTCGCCATGGTTTGTTCGCAATTTGGCGCCAATTTGTTGTCGGTTTTTTGTTACCAAGTTTTGCTCGGTATTTGACGTCAATTTGGTGTCAGGTTTTGTCGTCAAGGTTTGCTCACAACTTGTCGCTAACCCGACAAAAACAGATACGTTATATCCACATCGAATCCACGTAATTTACATGAACTACGTTGATGAACATATCTACGAAATATCGATATAAATACAACGTTCATTTATCCTCGATAAATCGAGGTATTTTATCTTTGAAATATCAACGTAGACTTCATGTTAGCCATATTCTCATGCCCAAGTAGAACAAACAAACACAATAATGCCAAAATGAGTATAAAAATGACCAGATCGTAATTGAAAAGTGAGTTTTTCAGTCATTTTCTCATTTTGACATTATTCTGACGTCAACGTTATTTGATGTTCTATCTGGGCAGTACAGCTTTTATTATAATAGAAGAGCATCTCAATTGCGCAAGTTGCAATTGACTGCAACTACAGATTATATTGGCTATAGATTATAATGATTCATTACGCAATAAATTTAATAATTTATCAAATCATGCTATGTTCATCCACGTAGTCCACTTAAATTACGTAAGTTCGACGTGTATATAAAAAAAATAATTCGACGTAATAAAAAAAATATTACTATAAAAATTTTAAGACCGAAATGGAATGTGCGATGTTTCGTAGACCTCACCTTACTAGTTAAGGTTTAAATTAACAATAAAAGTACGAAGAATATAATTTTAATTAAAATGAAATCATATTATAAAAAAATTATATTACTACGTTAATTGCGACATATATAGACAAAATATAAGACGTTTATATCGATCAAAGAAGTGATGTAATGTCTAAAACAATAGGTTCATAATTCAAAGATGCCTCAGGCCCAAGTTCGAATCCGTGTTAGTGAGAATTTTTAAGTGTGATATAACATTTGGAATCAAGTAATCTCAAATTTTAAGTAAAGTCAGCAAACGCTGACTGGTTTCTTGTTTCAACCAATTCCCCAATTTTATAAAAAAGTGAAACTTTTTGCGCTTATTTGAATATTTCTTGTATATTCTATGAATAATGCGGAATATTTTGGGATATTCTTGGAATGTTAATTTTGAATTTTAGGAACATTTTATAAATATTCCAGGAATATCTAGCGTTTACTAAGTAAATTCCCATTCACGTGATTCATATAAATTACATGGATTCGACGTGGTTACCTGTTTTCTTTTCCACGTGGATTCTAGTACCGTTTTTGAGCGGATGATCCACTCGATGTTCGACGTGGATGTCGACATCGATGATCCACGTGATAGGGACATGAATTCCTACCTACGTACCTGTTTTTGTCGGGCTTTTGTTATTAAGCTTTGCTCGGTATTTGGCGTCAATTTGGTGTCAGATTTTGTCATCAAGGTTTGCTGACATTTTGATGCCAATTTGCTGTCTGTATTTTGTCACCAAGTCTTGCTCGATATTTGTCGTTAAGTTTGCAAGCAAAACACGAGCCTATTGCAGACACAGATGGCATTAGATTTGTCGACAAGTTTTGCTCGTATTTGGTGCCAATTTGGCGACAATTTGCGGACAAATTGTTATCTGGGTGAATTTCAAAAGATAATAATTTGTTCAATGTTATTTCAATGTTATAGCAACATAAAGAATCAATGTAGAAGAAACAATATAGATTCAACGTTGAAAAGATATTTATATTTCAACATTCAACATTACAACATCTAAGCAATGTTGTTTCAACTTTCTGTGCTGCATAAGACATGCATGCACGCGCGCGTGCGCGCGCACACGCACACACTCACACACAAATTGCAATTTTTCCTCAAAATATTCGTTAAATTTGGTAAATTCGTTGTTTAAGAAATACTATAGTTCTTCACAAAATTTATTTATACAGAATCGATAGAATATAGCATTATAATAAGCCAGAACACTGTTGTGTATAAGCATTCCATAATAAATAGTTTTTATTTTATATTACTATGTTCCATATATTTTATATATGTTATCGATTTTTCAAAGTTTAAAAGACAAATAAGTTATGTTTTTATTTATTTTCTATTGATGTGACTCTTAATGTGAGGATAACTCTTAATGTGGGGGACTCTTAATCCCTCTTGTGAGGGATTTTTATAATGAACTAGAACTATGTATAAATATTTCGTAATGAACAGTTCTTATTTTATGTTACTATGTTATTTATATTTTGTATATTTTATCAAGTTTTTAAAATTAAAATAAGGAAGTTACGTTTTTATTTTATTTTTTTTTCATAGAGGTGTAATGTTAACCTCGATATTTTATGAGGTAACTTCCAAAGATATTATAAAAATAAAGACTTATTTTCTTTACTATTTATTCTGCTTTTTCATTAAAAGATATCCTAAACTATAACAAGAAATCGAGTTGATCGAAGAGCGTGTCAAAAACGAACTTTTAACATTTTATTTTAATAATATAAAAATCGGTCTCACAAGTCGTAAGTGAGTCTATATGTAAAAAAAGCTAGGGTGTGTGTGTGTGTGTGTGTGTGTGTGTTGTGTGTGTTGTGTGTGTATTGTGTGTGTGTTGTGTATTTTGTGTGTGTATTGTGTGTGTGTGAGTTCAGGAAAGTTAAAAACCGATTTCAGATAAGTCCTTTATGGACTTTTATTATTTCAGATAGTTCCTTTGCCACTTACGGTATTGCCACAAAACAAATTATTAATAAAATAATATTCGAATGCTCTGGATAATTTTGAATTTTTATACACTGACTAAAAGCGATGCATTCAAAAAAGAAACAGCAATGAAAAACATGGAAAAAATTGAAATTTTTTTTATTCATGATTGGTTTTGTTTTGCTTTGAAAACTGCCCCCAAATAATTTATTGAAAACTCAAATGACATTACGTTCACTTTTCTAATGTTAATACAGTTTTTTTTTCAATATTAAAGTTTTGGGGAGCATGGGATGTCCGCTTGAGAAAGAATGCCTTATATATATATGTATGATTATAAAATATTTCTAATTATTGATGCGTGCGAAGTTTTTACAATAAATTTTTATTATCCAAAGAATTGAGATTATATAAAAAATATCAGATTTAGATATTTTATAGATTAAATAATTCGAGTTTTAATTCGGCTCAACTATGCCTCGTATATACGACAAATCATCATGCTTTAATCCGTAATCATAAATCTTTATACCATATCGTATACCGTTTTCAATTATGGAAGTTCAATTCACGCTATCGCGCACCTATACATATGCACACTAGTAAGTTTTTTATGACTGCGTACGAATACAGATGTTTCAATGAAACTTTTTATATATCTCAAACTGAATACTGTCGGCAGTTTAATCGAGTCTGTTTCGTAAGAATAATGCAGTTTCGTAACAGAATATTGACTTACATACTCGGATTTGTTCTCGTAACAATAACTGATTCGTATGACAACGCCATAGGATATCATTCGCTTCTGGAAAGAAAATTGACGTTAAAATTGAAAATAGCAGAGCGGTTAAAGCACAATTTCGGGAAGATCCTGCATGAGTTGCCGGTAACATTACGTCATTCTTCACTGAGAAACCCATTTGGTTGATGTAATATAAAAATTCACACTGAGAGAAAAATGTGAAATATTTAGAAAGAAATATTTGCTTGTAATATTTCATTCTATATTTATTGATTATAAAAAATTTGACTGTAATAAAGAAATATACATTTCTATAAAATATATTTAAGTCTTTTAACTAATCGTGAGAAGCAAATTGCTTAACTCTTGTTGGAAAAATTAATTTATTTTAGGCAAACATATATTTGCTTATAGCAGTGATATTTAGTCATAACAAGATTAATATTTGTAGCCACCCTTATAGAAATATTATACTAAGAATCATTGATAATTACTTATTATCCAGTATTTTTAATACTGAAAATAAGTAATTATCAATGATTCTTAGTATGATATTTCTATAAGGACAAGTAGCATTTATTTGCAGAAATAAAATTTATTTCTTAGAAATAAATCTTATTTGTGTGGATCCGAAGTTAATTCCAGCCGTTCTACTTAGAATCCTTTACCGCAGCAAACACAATAATATAATAGTTACATCTCCATAATTTAACGAAATGTAACGTGCAATATAACGTGTTTGTTACATGTAACATACACGTTGTAATTCAAACAATATTGTAACTATATAACAGAAATATAACATGTTACTAAAATGTTATATAGCTGTTATATATATTGCTGAAATGTTATATAGCTGGAATATAAATTATTATTTCCCAGCAATTATAAGTATTTAATTGTACGCAGAGATTATAAGCCATCACTCATATATCACTTATTTTGTAAAAATATTATAATTATATATTTCGTATCAAAAATATTTTTACTAAAGGTAATAACATAAAAGTATCTTACCATTCTAAATTAATTAGCTCCCAAATAACACAAGTTATTCCAGAATCATCCTAGAGTTATTCTACCCTTATAGAAATATTATACTAAGAATCATTGATAATTACTTATTTTTAGTATTAAAAATACTGGATAATAAGTAATTATCAATGATTCTTAGTATGATATTTTTATAAGGGTAGACGTCTAGTGTCCCAGTATGTCCTCAGGACATATTTTATGCTATTAGAGTTATTTTCATTTATTCATTTTCATATTTCTCTGCATATTCAAATGGAAAAGATTATTATTGTAACAGTAATTTCCATTATCAAAAAATGTATAACTTTTTTTTACTATAAAAGTGAACTCCATAGTACAAGTTGTGTGGTCTTGTGATCATTGTTCTTATTTATATTAATGCATCATATTTTACGTATGAGAAAGACACGAGAAAACGGAAGCCATCTAGCAAATGATCCGATCCCGAGATATAAGAATGCTATGTAACATAGATGTAATGCAAATAAACGTTTGTTATATAACATATTATATTTTAGTTATGTTGGTGTTATATAATTATAACTTGTAAATAACAGAATTATAACAGTTCTAAAACACAGTTAGATTGCAGTTATAAAAGAAAATTATGTAACTTTAACATTAATAATGTATAACATCCATTATATTACGTGTTACTTCTATATTACGTACTAGTTATATTCTGTGTTTGCTAGGATATGTTATTCGTACATCGGAGAACACTGATTCGTATCATGTAATATGGCGAAATAGTGGTGATACATTGTCGTTTCGTGGTAATAGTGGCAGTGATTATCGTTTATAAGTGAATTAAAAAATATGGACAACAAAATAAAACATATTGTGGAAGTAATACATTTAGGGCGTAAATATTTATAATATTATAAATAAAGATAAATATTTATAATATTATAAATAATATTATAAGAAAATTATTATTGCTTCGGCTGCATATAGGGTTAAAATAAAATACTAGTTAATATAAAATACTTACAAGAAAATGCCACAACTTGCTAAATCAATTTCTGAACGAGTCATAGCACGTTCGCTAGTTGCGATGTTGAGCATAAACATTCTAATGGGATTTATGCCAATGGGTCTTTGTTTGAGAGAAACAGTATAAAGTTTGGGTCGCGGGACTGTATCGCACCTATGGCTAAAGTTGCGGATATCTTTCAGCGAGACGGCGTGGCTGAGCAGACTGACAAGGGAACATAGGCAATCCGAAAATTCAAAAAATTTTGAAACATTTGTATGCAAGTAGAGTAGTACATCCATAATATAAAACTATTTTTGTTTCTGCCAAATTTCGATTTAAGGGGATGAAATCATCCCTCGAGAAAACATAACATTTTTGTTCTTAGCGAATATTTCCAAAAATACAAGACATGAAAAAATGGTTTATATAAAAGTGGTAGAATATTTTATTCTCTTTGCAACAGTGTATTCAAATTTTGCAAAAGTGAAAATTTTTTTAACCCTCGCTTCCCCCACTCATTATCTTTACAAATTTTTAAGTTCTTGTTAGGACAAAAATAAAGAGCATCGAATACCAAATCCATCCATGTATAACACTAGAAAATTGTCGCGATTAAATTTTGGAAAAAACGAGTTGATAACATATAGCTATAAGCGGCGCGCTATAGATAGTGAGTTGAGCTATATTCGATAATTGCTTCTTGTATATGTTTTCTTATAACATTTATGTTTTCTTATACCGCAAGATGATTAGAATTAATTCTAATGACATCATATGCAATGTATTACATGAGATATAAATATAAACAGAGATTAATTTACCTATATAACAATAGTAACATTTGTGTGTGCTTTACTTCTTCACTTTATATTTGAATTATTCTTGAAACAAAATTCACCTAACGTGTGAAACTCTATTGATTTATTTTATATATATTCATTTTCAAACCACGTATATTTAAATAACTTTTGAAACTTGGACAACGAGAAGTGATGATGCATTAATGACTGCAATTTCAACATATTTTTTATAGGATGGAGATTACTTGCAAGATCTAATATAACAGTATATGTATCAGAAAACGTTGTAATAAAATTTTTTTTAATAAAATCAGAAATCTTTTTAATAAAATTTTTTCATAATCTAAAACTGAGCATATACATCTAATGATTCTATGCCTCTTTCCAAGATGATATGAAAATCTAAAATCGTCAGCAAACTTTGATTGTTGACGCAAAAGGTCTAACATTGATAGACCTTGCTATTTGCTAGGACGATGATAAGCCTGTCCACGGTTTGCACTATCTCCCCAGTAAACACTAATTATTGCAATAATATTATACAGAAATAACAAGTAATATAACATCAATTATATGAATGTTATAAAAATATTACATATAGATTCTTTGCATAATATCACAACAATATATGCAGATACATTATTAAAATAAATAAATAGTGTTACAGAGATACTTGTAACGTAACGGAAAAAGTGTTAAAATACATGACTAGTATATAACATTATGACTAGTATATAATCATTATGTTACGTGTTATACTGATGAGTAAGAAATTATAACTAACTAGTAACTTACTGGAAACACTAATGCAATATTGTAACATATGATATATTGGATTTATGTAACATTAATATAACTTTGTTTACATTAAACTTGGGTCAGCAATTTCGTATATGGCCGTCACTACTCCTTTTATTTTATTACATCTAGGGTCTTCACAACAAAAAAGAATTTTTCACTAATTACAATGATAAAATACCACTCCACAACCTCTTCTCATACATTGTAATCAACTTATGCATGTTCTATTAAAAAGAACTTGACGAATTAATTAGTGAAATGGTCTAATAAAATGCAACATTCTAAATTATTATTAATATAAATTTTAGATAGCTTCCAATTGTTTAAGCAAATTACAACAAATATACTTACAACTACATGAAATATAAAAATAGTCAATTAAAACTAGTCAATAACTAATCAATAGTATGTGAATCATAACAGCAGCAGCATATATATATATTAGGTGTTCCGGTTAGTTTTGAGGGTTCACTATAGATGGCTATAGCTACAAATCTACTGGAAATATTTTGAAAATGGGTACGTCATGTCAAAGCTAGGATATTTCAAACAAATTGACACATATCCTGTGCATTCGTGAACATAAACACACTGCTTAGTGCGACTAAACATGGAACATGATAAAGACCATTTTCGGCATCTATTACTTTACTACTTTGATTCGAAGAAAACAGCTGCCAAAGCTCACCGATTCATCTCAGAAACTTATTCTGAGTCTGCTTCATCAGTTAAAAGATGTGAGTACTGGTATCGATGATTTAAAAGTGGTGGTTTTGATTTGAAAGACAAAGAACGTTCAGGTCAACCAAAAAAGTTCGAAGATGCCGAACTATTGGGAGTATGCATTAATTTTAAAGGGTTTTTTGGTAAAAATACGGCTTTATTGTGAAAAAATGGTTACAAATTGATCACTCAAAATATTATCCATCACTAGCCACTACTTTTTCCCATCTTTTTGGTAATAGGTGAATTCCACGTCGAAAGAACGACACATCTTTTGAGACTATGAATCGACCCATTTTTTGGTATCCTCATAAGAATGGAAGCGCTGCTCAAACAGGCTATGAGTCATTGATCAAAATAGGTAGTAATCGGAAGGAGCAAAATCTGGAGAATACGACGGGTATAGTAGGATATACCAGTTAAGCGCTTCTAACATTTCCTTGACCGATTCCGCAACAAGAGGCCAAGCGTTGTCGTGCTGAAAAATCACTTTGTCTTGTCTTTTCGCGTAATCTGGGCGTTTTTGCTTCAATGCTCGGCTCAATTGTATCAATTGTTATTAGTAGCGTTCCCCAGTGATGGTTTTGTTGTATTGAAGCAGCTCATAATGTACTACACCTAGCTGATCCCACCAAATACAGAGCATGAGCTTGGCGCCATGAATATTCGGCTTTGCCGTCGATGTTGATGGTTCGCTTGGCTTGTACCATGATTTTTTGCGCTTCGGATTATCGTAGCATATCCATTTTTCATCATCCGTCACGATACGATGCAAAAAACTTTTCCTTCTGTGTTTTTGAAGCAAC